ATTATCAGAGAAATGCAAATCAAAACCACAATGAGGTACCATTACACGCCAGTCAGGATGGCTGCTATCCAAAAGTCTACAAGCAATAAATGCTGGAGAGGGTATGGAGAAAAGGGAACCCTCTTACACTGTTGGTGGGAATGCAAATTAGTACAGCCACTATGGAAAACAGTGTGGAGATTTCTTAAAAAGCTGGAAATAGAACTGCCATATTACCCAGCAATCCCACTTCTGGGCATACACACCAAGGAAACCAGATCTGAAAGAGACACGTGCACCCCAATGTTCATTGCAGCACTGTTTATAATAGCCAGGACATGGAAGCAACCTAGATGCCCATCAGCAGACAAATGGATGAGGAAGCTGTGGTACATATACACCATGGAATATTACTCAGCCATTAAAAAGAATTCATTTGAATCAGTTCTAATGCCCTCATTTTAGAATGACAAATCTTTGAATAGTCTCTTGGCTCGAGGCATACTCTTTAATGAAGAGTAATTCTAGAAACCTAAGTAGAGTTCAGATCATTAAGTGAACAAACCTGGTTGGTATGATGTTGACAGAAATATGACCTGCATCTGAGAGTGAATTATTTCATATTTCAAGGACTAGACATTAACCAACAGCAAAATGGTTACGTAAGTTAAGGCCACTTGACTTAATGTAATATTATGCAGCCAATAAAATGTTAACAAAAACAATGGCAACACAGAAAATACCTATGACATAATATTAACAGGAGCAGCTGGATAAAACTTCTTGGATACTATCAACCCTGAGGTCTTCTTTGAAACTACTTTAGGTTTATGTTATATCCCGTTCTGAACACAAATTAGTTGATTTTTTTTTCTGGTCCAGATTGCAATTCTTAATAGTAAATCTCACTAATTACTAATCATTACTTTATCCCACTCATTGGACAGTTCAGATTTCACCCAAGCTCCTACATCTTTAAGCATCCTTCTACAACTTAATCACCCCTAAACCAAACTATTTTTAACAATCTTCATTGAGCTCCAGGGAATTCGATGAAGAGTATGCGACTACTTCTATGGAGTATTATCTCCATAGAAGGTAATCTGCTGGGTTTCTTTGTTGCTACTTTTATCATCTAACTAGGGTATTAACATGAAAGAATACTATAACTACAAAGCATCTGAAAAACAAAGATTTGGGTCATTAAAGAAATTGCTAGATTATTACTAAAATCATGACTAACAAGGTCTGAGATTAGTATTAATTTTCTCTGTTCACCTGTTGATCCATTTTAATCAGAAAACTTGATTTTGGAGACATTACATTAGAACATATTATCTCTTAACAGCTGAAGCACAGATATAAAACTAAGATATAAGATAATAAATGGTGAAACATTTAGGTTCTAAATTTAAAATGACGTAACTGCTACAGTCCATGGATTCACAAGAGTAGGACACGACTTAGTGACCAAACCACCACCAATAACTGCTTAGAAATAAAAACTGTAACCAGATAGCTATCATAGCTCATTGTCATTACATAAGGCATTAAGACTCAAAAATCACAATTTGCCAGCAAAATAAAATGTGATCTTGAGAAATTGCCCTTGCTAGCCATTGGCACAAACTCTATCTTGGCTGAAATAATTCTATGGAAAATCAGCTTCAGTAATGGTACAAACTGGAGTCTGGGTCCTTTAAGCTTCACACAAGGATAAAATGATCTTTAAATAAATTCTATAGCAGACAAAGAAACTGAGTAAATACTACAGGAGAGGGTCTCAAGAAAAACTAACAGCCGTACATATACAATTTGTCTTTTAAAAATTATCTTTGTCTTTTAAACTATCCATTCTATGAAAGAAGGTGTTAGTTGCTCAGTTGTGGCTGACTCTTTGCAACCCCATGGACTGTAGCCTGCCAGGTTTCTTTGTCCATAGGATTCTTCAGACAAGAATACTGGAGTGGGTAGCCATTTCCTTCTCCAGGGTATTTTCCCCACCCAGGAATTGAACCTGGGTCTCCTGCACTGCAGGCAGATTCTTTACCATCTGAGCCACCAGGGAAGTCCTATAAGACATGATTATTTACATAACATAAACCAGTACCTCTTACTAGCTCCAAAAACATAGGATTTTTTATTTTAAAAAACCCTTGGGATATCCATTTAATTACTAAAAATGAATTGATGTAGTAAAGCATGGTTTGGGGAAGCCTCTGGTGGAGGATACCTGAAAATCTGCCTCGAGAATGGCATTTAACATAAAAGTCTGTAACCTTGCCTCCAGATGGGATAGACTGCTGCCCAGCTACATACACTTAAAAACACTGTGCCAGACTCGTGTGATATTTTACAACCCAAGTACATTTTGATTTGTAAACTTCTCACACAACAAGGCAAAATTGGGAAAATTCAATCACCAAGAATTTTTTATTTGTAACTTTTTGGCTTTTTAGGTAACTCATTTCAAGAAACAATAAGCTGCAACAAGTAGAAGGGACTTATTCATTTATTTCCTTGACATTTAAATATATTTTCTTTCAATTAATAAATCCATTTTATCATGAGTTAATGGAGGAAAAACTGCAAATTTTAAAGGGAAACCATTCTGAGATTAAATATTAAACAATAAATAATTTTGTAATTTTCAAATTCTGTTAAACACTATTTCTTGAAATTCTCTACTAAAAAAGTATTTATATGTTCCGTTATAAGTATCTAATTAGCCAAAGATATGAAAGACAATCAAAAATACTTTTTTCATCTGCAGCTCTATACCAGAAATTGGTAATAAATCTGTTAATTGAAAACAGTCAACACCATTAGAGAGAGAGTTCATCAAACTCAAAGATTCACTGCAGTAAGAAAAACACGAAGGCTCAAATTTCAAATCAAGAGGATAATGTAGGATTTAAAACACATTCACTATGAATAACTACACAACTAACATGTCACTACATATTAACTCATTATTGACCGGGGGATTTTTGCAGAGACTAACACCTGTGGCCAGCAATTTGTTATCAAGCGATATTGATATATCTCCAGTCAATAACATTTGGGTAACAAAAGACATATTAATACATCTCTGGTCAATAATGTGTTAAAAGAGATGACCGAGGATGGGGACAAGTGGGGAGGCAGACAGTGGCGACCTCTGGAAGATGGAATCTCTTCTCTCTGCTGGTCCTAGAAGAGAAAAGAGACACCAGTGAACATCAACACACTGTCCGGATTTCTCCCCACCCGAGACCCATCAGTCCACAGGTGTTTCTCAAACTTACAGGCAACTTCATCTTTATATATGGTACTTAGTGACAAGGGGATGTCAGGATGCCACCAATCCTAACCTAACTAGTGCTGCCTTGAAAAAATAAAAACCTATCAAAGGTATTACTATTTCTATACAGCTATAATCTGAACTCAGTTGGGTTGAAAGTTACACTTCTTTATTTACATTAAAAATAGCTTTCCAAAATTATTCCACTCGATTATTTCAAATTATAAAAGACCCTAAATTCAATTTAAAAAGCTCTGAATTATCCACGTGTGTATGTGCATGTGTGTGTGACAAGTGGCTTCAACGGGACAGTTAGGTTTTTAGCTGTCATGGTTCTCATTTGGTGTATTGATACCTGGAGAAGACAGGATGAAGGGATTGTCTATTTACACCATCTGACAAAGGGAAATGAACCAACTTACACAATTGGAAAAAGGTTATCTTCACTCTGGGAAGAAGCCCTGAAATAACTCAAATTCAACAAACAATTATCTAAATAGTGTGACTGTGGTGCATAATTCCTTCAATTCTGTAATGCAAAGAGAATTATACAGAATCTGCTTTTTCTAGGTTGCAGAGTTTGTATCCAAACCAACTGGCAATTTTTTTCAGACACCATTACAGCTTCTGCAATCAGAACTGTGAGTCATTGTTATTTTCTCACATATTCTCAGGGAGAAAAACAGCAGTCACTATAAACTAAGTCCAAAGTAAACCCTATAGGACTTTCTTTTTTTTTTTTTTTTTACTTCAGTCACACAAGACTAAGATCCAAATATATACAATGAAGAGTTAGTCAATTTAAGTTAAATAAGCAGTCACTATGTTTTCTCATTACTGATCTTCCCTTTCTTCCCGGCACTGTGCTGGGCATTGGGGCTACAAAAAGACGAGTAAGGCACAATCTCTGGCCACATAAAACTGCAGTTATAGCACGTTATTAAAATCCCTGTAAGTCTGAAAAGTAAATGGACTCACTGGCTCTGGGTAAAAAAAAATTATTCTTAGCTTCTTGGATCTGCAAACGCTTCTTGGATCTGCATAACAGCTACAAGTAACGGATGGACGGACAGCATACCATTTGTACAGAACAGTTAAAACCTACTCGCAATCTGCTGGCCAGCAACAAGGTCCAAAGAGATGCAGTGAATCTAAGATTGATCATGTCAGTCTAAGACTGCAGACATTTGGGAAGCGCCATACAGAAAAACACCGAAAAGTCAAGATTAAAAGTCTGATTTTGTGAAATCATTAAGAATTGTAGAGCTCGAAAAGACCTCAGTATTACCACCAACAAAGAAATTCAGAAACTCTAAACCATCTGGCCATCGCCCACTCCTTTGTTTATGAAACAACAGCCATAACCAAAACCAAACAAATGCTTCAAACAAGCAGACCACGTGTTTTCAAGGCCCCTTTTCTCTGGGTCTCAAAGGTCTTCCTCAGTCACCCAACTGCACCTGCTGCAAAGACGTCACGTTCCGGTGAGCGCAGAGAACATCCAAGTTGCCTGACTTGAGGCGGATGCGACTAGCCGGCCTGGCCTGCAAGGCCAAGTTCCGAGCGAAGACAGGCCTCGCCCCCGCCCCGCCGCGCGGCTGCCCCGGAGCCCCGGCTCACACGCGCAAGGCCTGGCCCGCGCCAGCTGCAGGCGCCCGGCCGCCCCTCCCACAGCCAGTGGCTTCGCACCCGGGAGCGCCCGGGCCCGAGGAGGTCGAGTGTCCGGGAGCGCTCGTACCTCACGCCGCTGCTCCGAAAGCCCCGGAACGCCTGCTCCGCCGCTCCTGGGGCCGCGAAGGACGACACCGCGCTCCGGCTCAGCGCCGACACTCGGGCCAGGCGGCCGCGGAGCAGCCATAAGCCTCGGGCCACCACTGTCATGGCCGCGAATGCCGGCTCCCTGACAGAGGCGCCACCTCCGCCGCTCCGGTCCTCAGAGCGCCAGCCCGGACTCCGCCCCCACCCGGCTCGGCGGGAGAGCGAGTCTACCAGCCGAAGGTTCCCGGGGGCACCTTTCAGGGGCGGGGCTAGAAGCCGAGTTCGGGGCCGGGGGCGGGGCTGAAGGACCCGAACCAAGTCCCGTCAGGGGGCGGGGCCGGGACCCGAGCCCCAGGCTGGACTAGCATGTGCGTCGGAAGGCTGGAGTTTGAGGGATGGCCTGGCGGCGAGATGGCTTCCCTTGCACTGGTCACGCTGCTGATGTGCCCATAGTGAGGACACAGGGAAAGCGTCTAAACTAATCAGTCCAAGCAGCACGCTCCCCTTCTCCCAAACCATTGCTCTGCCCCGTAGCTGCCCAGACTACTGGTGATTTCCTTTAAAACAGGAAGGATATTACAGATTCTGTCTCCCTTAGTGAGACCCTGGGATACCTTTCTCCTGAGAGCAGGAAAAAGAAAGACAAGCGTTAAGTGTGTGGAGGGAGGAGGGAGACCTGGATGAACAAGGCTTGGACCTAAGAATTTCTATTGCTCTACCTTATCATTTCCACTTTGGAGAGGAAAAACCTGTCATTCATTTTCTGGAGTCTATGATCAAACTTACACTACCGAGGAACCTGTGTTATGTGGTGAATTTGTAGTGACAAAACAAAATAGAAGCTTCCTTTAAAAAGTAAAAATCAGACTGACCATTTTTTAATGCTGAAATGTGGTAGAAGATGAACTGGGTTATGCTTTTATTTGAGTAAAAATCAACTTGAATCAGGCAGTGTCCAACCTAGCAGATAGAAAGTTCTAAGGAGCATGTCTTTCAGAAAATGAAAGACTTGTAGGCAGAAGGGGGCAGAAGGGGGCAGAAGTTATACTAAACAAATAAGTGGTTTCGTTCAGCTATTGAAAGATTGCTTTCCTTTAACACTACAGAGATCTATCAGACCTGCTACCTAACTAGTGATAATATAAAGAAAGAAACAGAACAACCTTCATCCCCTTAAATTAAGTATTGTTTTTAAAATTTTTCTTGTAGTCCAGCTTAAGGATAATGCAAAATGTAGGAAAAGTGCACAAAATGAAAAATACATAATTGAGAAAATTAAATATATTTTCTGTATTAAAAATACAGGATTATTTCTATGAATTGTTACATTCATTAAATTAAAAGTAATAAAAATTATCAATAATAATAGCTAACAGTTTCTGTAGATTTACTCTGTTCCATGTATTTGTCCTTTACGTGGATTGCTTCATTTAATCTTGACAATAATTCTCTGAAAAAGATCCTCTTGTAATTCTCATTTTACATATGATAAATCTGATCTATGAAGAAATTAAGAAACTTACCCAAAGCTACAAGTCTAGGAAGTGGTACATTCAAAATTCAAAGAAAGGCACTTGGATTCTGTAGGTTAAAAAAAAAAATAATCCATGGAACTAAGAAGACATGAGAAGAGAAAATGAACAGAGAATATATCAAAATTTGAGGAAAGCCGCTAAAGAAGTACTTCTGGAGAAATCAGTAGCCTTAAATGCTTATTTTGGAGAAGAGTAAAGGTCTAAAATCAATGGTCTAATAATCTCTAGGGCTATGCATGTTGCTACAAATGGCATGGTTTTGTTCTTTTTTTATGGCTGGGTAATATTCCATTTTATATATGTACCACATCTTATTTATCCATTCCTCTGTTGATGGACGTTTAGGTTGCTTTCCTTCTTGGCTATTGTAAATAGCACTGCAATGAACATTGGGGTGCATGTTTCTTTTTGATTTATAGTTTTTTATGGATATGGGGCTTCCCAGGTGATACAGTGGTAAAAGAACCCACCTGCTAAAGCAGGAGACACAGGAGATGAGAGTTTGATCCTGAGGTCAGGAAGATCCCCTGGAGTGGGAAATGGTAACCTACCCCAGTATTCTTGCCTGGAAAATTCCATGGACAGAGGAGCCTGGTCGGCTACAGTCCATGGGATTCCAAAAGAGTCAGACACAACTGAGCAACTTAGAACACAAGTGCAGATATATGCCCAGAAGTGTGATTGCTGGATCATATGGTAGTTCTATTTTTAGTTTTTTGATGACTGTCCATACTGTTCTCCATAGTGGCTATTCTGGTTTACATTCCCACCAACAGTGTAGGAGAGTCCCCTTTTCTCCACACTCTCTTCAGCACTTACTGTTTGTAAACTTTTTGATGATGGCCCTTCTGACCCATATGAAATGCTACCTAGACTCATAGACTTTGAAAATAAACTTATGGTTACTAAAGGAGAAATGTGGCAGGGAGGGATAAACTACAAGTTTGGGATTAACATATATCCACTACCCTATATAAAATAGATAATCAATGAGGACCTACTGTATAACCCAGGGGCCTTTAATCAACAATCTGTAGTGATATTTATGGGAACGGATATATGTAAAACTTAATTACTTTGCTGTACACCTAAAACTAGCACAATATTGAAAGCCAACTATACTCCAATATAAAATAAAAATTAAAAATTTAATAATATCAATGGTCTGTTGCTGCTGCTGCTGCTGCTAAGTCGCTTCAGTCGTGTCCGACTCTGTGCAACCCCATAGACGGCAGCCCACCAGGCTCCGCTGTCCCTGGGATTCTCCAGGCGAGAACACTGGAGTGGGTTGCCATTTCCTTCTCCAATGCATGAAAGTGAAAAGTGAAAGTGAAGTCACCCAGTTGTGTCCGACTCTTCGCGACACCATGGACTGCAGCCTACCAGGCTCCTCCATCCATGGGATTTCCCAGGCTTCTACAAATTAGAAAAATAAGAACAGTTGAGCTAGAGAGCTAAATTAAATAGAAAACAGAAAAACAACAGACTAAATTAATGTTATCAAAAGGGAATTTTGAGGATTAATCAATACAGTTGATAAAATTGTAAGACTAATTAAAGGAAAAGAGCATTATAAGGAGAGATGCATTCCTATTCTCATTCCTACATGTTTTGCTGAGTGTCAAGACTAGATCTTGACCACTTTTTACCTGGGCCATGTCTCAGGAGTCTTTTTTTTATTTATTTAAAATATTTATTTATTTATCTGCACCAGCTCTAGTTGCAGCATGCTAACAAACTCAGGCCCCCTGAATTGGGAGCATGGAGTGTTAGCCACTGGACCACCAGGCAGGTCCCCATCTCTCATGAGTTTTCATGGAGCTGGTAATTCTGAGCGATGAGGTAGTGATTCCCTGTGTACAAAGAGAATGCTTGCTTACTGCTTGCCTTAAAGTGATGAGATCCTTAAGCTCAGAGCTCCTCGTCTGTGGTGCAACAGCCGACTCCACGTGCAGGCTTCATCTGGTCTTCCATGTCATCCTGCGGTATGTGGGGCTCAGGAAAATGGAACAATGATGCTAATGCTCCAGCAACTACTTTTTTGGTCGATATCATTTGCTTAGCTATTGCAAGGTTTATTTCTGAGCTCTCTATTCTCTTCCATTGTTGTGTGTGTCTGCTTTATGCCAGCATCACATATTTTGATAGCTGTGGCTTTGTAATAAGTGTTTGAATCAGAGAGTATGAGACCTCCAACTTTATTCTTCCTTTTCAAGATTGTTTTGGCTACTCAAGGCCCCTTAAGATTCCATATGAATTTTAGAATAGGTTTTTCTGCTTCTTCTAAAAATGGCATTGGGACTTTGATAGACATTGCATTAAATCTGCAGATTGCTATGAGTAATGTTGGCATTTTGGCAATAATAAGTCTTCTAATCCATGAACACATGATATTTTTTTTGATCTATTTATGTCTTCTCTGATTTCCTTCAGCAATGTTTTGCAATTTTCAGTGTAAAGTCCTTCTTGGTTGGGTTTATTTGTAAGTATTTTATACTTTTTGGTGCTATTGTAAGTGGAAATATTTTCTTCATTTCCTTTTTGGATAGGTCATTTTTGATAATTACTTTTGCTGTAACAAATTTCTTGTCTCTCTTCAGGAGTCTCATGTCTTCTGTAAGTTTTCATGAAACTGTAGAGGACTAATTTATTAGATTGTAGATAGGGCTCAATTATATGTGTATTTGGCCACCTAAATAAAATAGGCAAATTTCTTTAAAAACACAAATCATCAAAAATTGACCCCAAAAGAAATTTAAAAATTGAATAATTCCATGAAAAAATCAAGTTACTAATTATCTTCAGACAAAGAATCTTTAGTCTTCGGTGGACTTCACTGATAATTTCTCTCAAATGTTTAAGAAATCAATAGTAAAAATATTATGCATATCTCTCAGAAAACAGAAGAGGAAGGAACCTTCCCAACTCATTTATTAGGCCACTAGTACCCTGGTATCAAACATTACAAGAAAAGACACTCCAGACCGATATCCCTCAACAACACAGTAACGGAAATTTTTAAATACACTAGCAAATTTAATAAAACAATATACAAAAAGGCAATCTATCATGACCAAGTGAGGTTTATCTTGGGGATGTAAATCTGGTTCAACACTCAGAATCAATCAATTCAATTTACTATAGCAACAAATTGAAAAAAAAACAAAACAGTAATGAGCTCAATAGATGTAGAAAAAATATTTGACAATTCAACATTCATCCATGAAAAAAAAATTTAAAACTTGCAGAAAATTGTAATTAGAGGGATATTCATCAAGCTTATAAAGGACGTCTATGAAAACCCACAGATAATGATTATTTCATGGTGAGAGATGCATAAGTTTAACACAAGGCAATAATGTCTGTTTCCACAGTTTCTATTTTTTACTACTTGTCTGTGACTGACTCCAAAAGGGTACAAAAGAACTTTTGAAGGTGACAAAAATGTTCCATATTTTGACTGTGGTATGGTAAACAGTCTATTCATTTGTCAAAACTCATTAAATTACACACTTAAAATAGGAACATTTTATTGTATGTAAATTTTCAATTAAAATTATTAAATATATTTAATATTTAATATATATA